AAAGCGCAGCACCTTACCTGTACTCTAAATGCTATTTCCGCGTCGTCTAGGACGTCGGGCGTCATCATCATCATCTTCACCAGCAGACACAAGCTCAGTATCTTTTCTTCATCTCAATTCATCTACCCTTTTCTCTGCGACTATCACTGGTTGTTGTCCGTGTCCACAGACAGTCTTTGATTGTGCGATTGTGTGAAAAAAGAGCGAAATTGTGATGATGTCAATTGTGCCTGTGCGGTTGCCGCTGCTGCTTTGTTGCTTTTGTTGCTAAATTCACGGGCACATCTTCTACCAGAAAAAGAGAGGGCTAAATGGCCACAGCGAGCACTGCCGCACTTTTAGCGGCACATACAGTACACACTTTGTCGCCATTTGTCGTCGTAGGTGTATTGGGTAGACTGCTGCTGCTGCCGGTTTACGTGTGCACATACATACTCACTTATTCCTGTAGTATCTCTACGTGTGCTTGTCACTCGGCACAAGAGGAATTGTGAAGAATTCACGTTCAAGGATTTTTGCTTTTTCTGCTGCTGCTGATGTGACTGCGGCAGTGCTCTTCAGTGCTGGTATTTGCTGCCACCGACAGTTCGTGTTGATGTGAGGCAAGTGTCGCACAGCAGCACTGCAGAGACACATAGTTTCGCCATACCTAGCCGATTGATGGCAGCGGAGATTGGCGGTTGCAAGTGGTGTAGTTTGGAGGTTCGCTTGTTGCTGCTGCTGCTGCTTCTTTTTGCTAATTCGTACTTTTGGCGCCCGGCGTTGGAATTCGTCGCCATCAGCTTCTACTCTCTGCGTCNCAGCACTGCAGAGACACATAGTTTCGCCATACCTAGCCGATTGATGGCAGCGGAGATTGGCGGTTGCAAGTGGTGTAGTTTGGAGGTTCGCTTGTTGCTGCTGCTGCTGCTTCTTTTTGCTAATTCGTACTTTTGGCGCCCGGCGTTGGAATTCGTCGCCATCAGCTTCTACTCTCTGCGTCTATTCAGGCAGCACTAATTGCAGTTGGTCTTAGGATATGCGAGTGAGTGAGTGTGTGTGTTTTGGGTAAACAGACGGCATTACTCATCATCTGTCCAAATGGACTAGCGCCAGTGCGATCAGTAGCTGTAGAAGCTGTACACTCTCTTTGCAGTTCTGTACTCCTGCACTCAGAGGTCTGTTTTTCCGTCGTGCCTCTCAATCAGCCAGTGAGGCGTTGAGCTGCATGTCTGCTGCTTAGTCTCTGTCATCTGTGTGCGCCCGTGCTGTCGATTCTGAGGCCAATCCATCTTCTCTTCTCTATATTCTCTTCTTTATTTTCTGCTGTCATATCACGCGCCTTTCACTACGCCTACCTCCGCCGCCGCCATCATCGCTAAGACTAACATTTTCTTTTTCTTTTTCTTTTCTTTTTTGCTTCATCTCCTCAATCACCACCACCACCCCACAGGCAAAGCTTGGGTACCAAAACCAAATGAAGGCAATGGCAACGACGAGAAGATCCTCCTCGACCTGGAGGACGGCAGTGAGGGTGCCCTGGAAGGCGCCACCGAGGCAGACCTGGTCGACCTGGCGGGTATCCTCGGACTGCACTCCATGCTCAGTCAGGATCAGTACCACGCCTCAATCCTCAACAAGGGTCAGCTGCCCTCGGACAAGTTTGAGTCGGTGGTGAAGGCGACGGTGCCGAAGAAGCTGCCGCCCATGGAGCCCGACAATGTGACCGACCCGGAGAAAACGGCAAAGATGGTCATGGAGAATGATCCGTCCCTGACTGAGCTCAACTGGAACAACATCAAATACATCCCACGGGAGACCTTTAAAAAGCTTTTCACCGGCCTTAAGTCGAACACCAACCTAAAGAGTCTCCACCTCTCCAACACCGGTCTCACCGATGGACCGGCTGAGGTGAGTTTCTTTGTTGTCTGGTGTGCCCACACGATTTCATTTTTAGTCTTTTTAATGGTTATTGTCTTGCGCAAATGGTTACAAAAGGTTCACACAAAAATAGGGCACGCCCGGCGAAATGTTTTTTCTTCAGTTTTTGACTCTTCTTTCTTGCGACACTTTTGCGTTGGCGATGTGCCTTAATGTGCTTTAGTAGTCTAAAAATAGGCCAAAACTGATGGTGTCGCTGTGTGTGTGTTTTGAGAAATCTGTCAATTGCATGGCGATGATGGCAACATGATTAGGCCTATGATGACAATGATGATCGAAAGGAGTGTTATTGTTCAGGCTATTTTTAGGCCACAGTTGTAGAAAGAATGTTAATATTTGGTGACATCTTTATGCAAAGCTGAAGAACATCATGCTAACACAGATATTCTAATTTTTCTTTTTCCCCACAGAAACTGGTTGAAGCCCTTCGCGAGAATGAACACCTGAGGAAGGTGAACATCGAGTCGAACTACCTTTCCGGACCGATGCTGCGCGACCTGGTGGAGGCCATAACCGAGAAACAGTTTGTGGTGGAGTTTCGCGCCGCCAACCAGAGGCCATCCATTCTGGGCAATCGAGTGGAGATGGAAATTGCACAGCTGGTCAAGCAGAACAAGGTACTGCTCAAGCTCGGTCTCAACCTTGACGTTCCTGCCGCGCGACACACCGTCGCCTCTCAACTGCAGCAGAATAATGACAATTGTAAGCACTCACTCTTTTTTGGTGGTGGCTCGTTTTCCCGCAACTAATCATTTCTTTCTTAGGTCGTCTAAAACGGCTGGCGTCGGTAGAAGGCTGATCACTGTTCTGACTCAATTGAAAGCAGCAGTCTGTCAACAGTACACTTTTCCGTTGTCAGCAGCACCAGCATTGCCACCATCACCCAAAGCCACCCCCACAGACCATCAAAGCAGAATTTGTTTTCACATTTTGAAAAAATAACCCCACAGCACGAACTTATAATTAACGCAATCAAATCACAGCATCCCCACAACTTCATCATCAGTTACTCTAGGTTTTGAAATGTTAGTCGCCAAAAATCTGTCTCAAAACAGCATCCAGCTCTAAAGGAAAAAAGAAAATCGTTTTTCGTCTTGATATTTTTGGTGCTGTTTTGCACTACTACTACCGCCAATGTCAACACCATTAACACCACCACCACCACCACCAGCATCATCATCACCCCTTTCTCTTTTTGTGTCATCATCACCTAAGAATCATTTCCAGCATCGATCCCCGGTGAATCACTACTAGCATTCTCTCTGCTACTCACAGCAAAATTGTTCAACCTAGCAGCAGAAGCAGCAGAATCTTCATCAAATAGCATGCATTTTACTGTTTGCTATCTCAGCACATATTGATACTTTATGCTCTCCATATGGACGACTCTTGAGTTGGTGGTGCACCCAACAGCAACATCAGCACCAGCACACTCACAGACACACACTTGACACAGCCATAAATCATGCGGCTAATCGACATCGGTGTCAATCACGCAAAAAGTGTTTGTCTGTGTGTCGTCTTCTACTTCAGCAAAAACAGGGCGCAATCGAAATCATTTGCTGTCGTCAGGCAGCGACTGCCTCAGTCGCTGTCGCTGAGTCGTCGTTGTCTGCTTCTGCTGTTGGCACCCGCATTTTCGAAGTTCCAGCAGTTCGTTCACTCGTTTCAAAGTGCGGATTCAGTTCCCGATCCCAAAATACGCTCCCACCGCTTCTAACGACTGATCGATACTACTTTTCACTACCAGCACTTCACACATATTGCTGTAAACGTAGCTGAGAGAACTGTACAGAAGCCTGTAGTCGGCTCCCGGGCAAAGAAAAAAGTTCCTGAGCACCTACCTAGTTCAGATGTCAGTGTCTGTCTGTCAGGAGGACGCAGATCACTTTGAGTCCCTTTGTCAGTCCTTCTTCATCCCCCCTTTTGAAGCCAGTGATCACCCACCACTAACTGTCTTGTTGATACGTTTTGCTACTTTTGCAAACCACCCAATTTCTCTTTCACACTCTCACTTACAGCTGTTCTCTAGTTAATGAACAACAGGCACACACACCCACACACCCACACACATGTATTAATAACTATATTGTAATTGTTTAATATAACCAACAAGAATATGTTCTTTAATAAATTTTATTTATACAAAAAAACTTGCGCGATCATTTTTGAGGAATTTTGAATTTTGAAAAAACGAGAGCAGGCGTCATCTGGTGACGCCGAGCGGTGACTGGTGCCCGTGGATAGCATGCGCACTGCGGTGAGCACTTTAACGACCAAATCGGATCGCCTTCAGATACTTTCTTTTCCCTCTTTCTCGCTCTCTTTCGCTCTCTTTGATGGGGGACATCCAACCGCTGATGACGCCTCGATACACACTCGCCGCTCCAAGTCAGCTTGAGCCAGCATTTGTTCTGGCCATGCCTGGCCACTAATCGGCTGCCACGGCCAACAGTGCTCTGAAGACCACCAACACCGCCAACTACCACTGCTCCCTCACCTTCAGCACCATCAACAACACAACTTCTGCCTTGGCTCTGGTAGCGTCAGTTCTTCTCTCTTCACAACAGCCGCCGTAATCGTCGTAGCTGATAAAGCGGTACGGCGGTACGGCGTTTCCTTCGCCGACTGTTATCTTGCCGAGCAAATGAAGAGAAGATAGTGTGATACTTGAACCGAGTGGTCCATTTCGGTGTGATCAAGATAACTCGAGGTGCCACACGAGGTGCTCCCACCCAGTGGACGGCACGGCACCAGTGCCTGTCTATGTCTGCACCAGCACCATTGTTGACATCGGAGAGCAGTAGAAACTGACCAAATAGAACGGCTTTCACACTTGTCAACAGCTGCTCCAACAAACCAACCACAACAGTCACTCGCAGTAGTGCGTCATCAGCAACCAGGCATTGTTGGCTGGTGCAACGACTCGCCACCAACAACGGACACTTCTTCTCATCAAACACCTCCGCAGCAGCGTATTTGTTATTGTTGTCCTCGGCAGAACCCTGGCCAGCTGAGTAGCTTCTGCTGTTGCCGCCACAATGCCGACCAAAGAGCTTCACCTGGCAAAGAACATCGAGGAGTTGCAGAAAAAATCAGAACTGCCTAATTTTGACTCTCAGAAGTACGACTGGAATAGGTAAATGACCTTTTATCGGCATCTTGTTTTTTTTTCTTTCAATGTCGCCTGTTTTCTGACTTGCACTACAGATTAGCAAAATTATGCCACCAGTTAAAAGATGGGGCCAAAGAAGCCATGAAGAATGGGGACGAAGAAAGGGCCTATATAATGTTTTACCGGTTTTTAACTGCAACTGGACATATAAATGAAAAGAGCAAGGAAGATAAAATTCGTTTTAGAGAAAGGGTAAAACATTCTGACACGGAATTTTGTTTGAACGCATTTGACAAAATTCAGAAAGCCCTTAGCAAGCGGTATAATGATAGGAACCAGGAATATGAAGATCGTAAAAATAAACTGTTCAATAATGCCAATAACACTAGTACCCCACTGCCTGGAACTTCAGTCAAAGTGGACACCAGCCAAATGAATGGCTTTGAGCCTGAAGAGGAGAAGGAGGACGAATATGCGACCATCACACCGATGCAGCTAGTGGAGTCCATCCAGAAGCGCTCCAGTCAGCTCAGTAAGGTGCTCATCATTGACATTCGCTCGGCGGAGGAGAATGCCGAGTCAGCAATTGCCGCCAACAAGCTGCAAGTCAATGGAGAAGTGAACGTCATCAACATCCCCAGCGATCTGATAGGCCCCGGACTCACCTTCTCGAACCTCTCCAGGAAGGTCAGCCTAGGTCTGGTGAAGGACGCCTTGGAGAGGAGACGCTCGATGGACACTATCGTGATCATGGACAGGGCAACGTGTGATTTTGAGAGCGATTCAAAGTGCGTTCTCCTGGCACAAGCACTCTTTAAGGTAAGTCAAAGTGCTTTTTATAAGCAGTTTTTATAGTAAGCATTTACCTTTCTTTTAGTGGGACCAATCGCCAGAGTGTGTAAAGAAAAAGCCAGTGCTTTTGAAGGGTGGATTTCAAAATTTTGCTATCACTTACCCAATTTTACTCACCAACTCGGAGATTATCAACCAGTTTGCAAACAGTTCACCTTCACCCCGACTGAAACCAATTCAAAGTGGAATGTACAATTTTTTCGAGGAAAGCAATGCAGAGGAGGAAAAGAAAAAGCTTCTTAGCAGCGATGGAAGCTCCAATGAAAAGCCCATTCCAACTACACTGAACGGCTTCATTAATGGCAATCAAACAAACGGTAGCTTCACTTCAAACTCCAGCAATAACACTACCATTTCTACCAAATCATTTGGCCTAACAGTAAAAGTGCCAGGCATCGCAAAACCCATCATTCCAGATAGAGCAGCAAAGCCTAACCTCACCCCGCATAATAATCTTAATGATGACAGCAATGAAGTGGCAATGAAGGATGGAGAGAATGACAAGGATCTGACTCCGTTGTCTAAGCCACTTACCAGTAGCGACTTTCGACAAAATCCTCCTGCAACCGATGTGATCAACACTGCCAACAGGTCGCTCAATGACCCGCCAATTTCACGCTCGTCCTTGCCGCCTAAACCAGGCCACCTTATTTCTTCGCTCAGCACCGGCACCACCACAAATGGTCACAGTTCAGAAAACGGCTCCTCGATTCGTGGAAACATGGAGATCGACGACGACGATGATGACTTTGTGGCGGGCAGGTTTGACGATGATCTCACCAACAGCCGCAAAAAGCCTGTGGCTTCCATCAACAACGTCCTGCAGACGCCAGTTCACCGGCGTGGTGAGGTGAATGCCAACCTGACCGATGAGAACATGTCCGAGGAGGATGAAGAGATGGAGGTGATTGGCGGAGGGCCAAGGACGGGACCGTCGCTGAACATTAGACCGAGCTCCAAGCCCATCTCCATGACCAGATCGATCAACAGAGCGCCGAACAATAACTTTTCCGCCCCCGGAAGCCTGTCACGGTCACTCTCTTCCCCCAACATTGCCCAGTTTGATGAATCTCAGCAGTTTTCATTTGGCAGCGCCGGCATCGGCACCCCCAAGATTCACCCTATTGTGGATCGGTCGATGAAGCCGGGCCCCATTCAGGCACTACTGAGAAAGACGCGTGATTTCAGTCCTCAGTACAGCTCCTACGGGCGCATTCCTGGCTTGAAAAACCTGGGCAACACCTGCTTCATGAACTCGGTGCTGCAGTGCCTAAACAACACCTTTGCCTTGGCGGAGTATTTACGGCGAGAGCGGGTTCACATTAACCCCGTCTCCAAGTTTGGGTCTAACGGTGAGCTGGCCGTCGAGTTGATGGAGCTCTTCAAGCAGATGGTCTACCCATCGAACTTTAAGCACATCTCGCCGAAGGACCTGAACAGCGCCGTTAAGCGTCACATTCCCGACTTTGGCGACAACAGACAGCAGGATGCGCACGAGTTTCTGGTGTGCTTTCTCCACCGTCTGCACGCGGACATGAACACGCGAGCCGATGTGGTGGTGGAGGATCCGGTGCAGAAGGACCCGAACTACTATGACAGTCTGACGAACAATATGGCAGCGCATCGCTTCTGGACGATGCACGTCAAGCGGAACAGCTCCATCATCAGTGAGCTCTTTGATGGCCTCAGCGTGAACACCACCTCCTGTTTACACTGTAACTACACCTCCCGCACGCTGGAGGCCTTCACCTGTCTGACGTTGCCCATCCAGGAGGGGGTCAGCCGTACGTCGATCAACACTAGTCTGAAGATGCACCTGCGCCAGGAGCGGGTCAGCGATGAGCCCTCCTGGAAGTGTATGATGTGCAATCAAAAGAGGGACGCCGAAAGGTGCACCTACATCTGGAGACTGCCTAAGATTCTGGTGATTCAACTCAAACGGTAAGCGCTTTTAGAAGAAGGATATGAATAAGTTTGAAGGTTGGACTAACTCGTTTTGGTCACTTTAGATTTTCCTACGAAGGCATGTGGCGACAGAAAGTATCGACTTTTGTCGATTTTCCAATTGACAACCTTCTCATCGAATCACACGGACCGGGCAATGAGCTGCACAGCTCGTACAGCCTCTACGGTGTGGTGAACCACAGTGGACAATTGGAGGGTGGCCACTATATTGCCTACTCGAGGAACATCGAGATGAACATTACCTGGCACAAGTACGATGATCAAGAGGTGACGCCCGTCGCTGACAGCGAAGTTATCACCCAGAACGCCTATGTCCTCTTTTACAAGCAAACATCAAAGAGCTAACGATGCTTACTGACTTTCGGTTTGCCCCTGCTACTATCATCCCCATGATCATCCACACTCAGCACCACCACTTCAAAACAAATGTTCCTCTCTGTTTACTCTTGCTGAAACCTGTCTTCCCCATCTCTCTAGTGATAGCTCACCTCTGTTGTTTGTAATTTTATTTTTGTTATTATTTTATTACAATCTGTTATATTATGTTTATACTTTTACCTGTGTTACCACGGGAACTGTTGTTACCTGCTGCTGTTACCTTTTTCGTAACCCTTTCTACTGCTGTCAATCAAATGTATTTTATTTCTTCAGATTTTATATACGCTTCATATTTATTAAAACCATGTTGCATTCATAAGACGATCGGAGTTCTTTGGTGAGGTTTTTTGTGGAGATCTGAAATCTGATGTTTTTTGCNCTTTCTACTGCTGTCAATCAAATGTATTTTATTTCTTCAGATTTTATATAAGCTTCATATTTATTAAAACCATGTTGCATTCAAAAGACGATCGGAGTTCTTTGGTGAGGTTTTTGTGGAGATCTGAAATCTGATGTTTTTTTTGTTGCACCGACCGATGCGCCCCCTGGTCAGCTGTGCAGTAAAGGTGACGTCTATTAGCGCCGCTGCAGGCTGCAGCAGCCGGTCGCATCGTCGTCTTGCGCTGTTTAGCGGTTGTGGTCTGTTGAGTTGTCTCGCTTCAGAAGAGCTGATAGTCTGTTTTGGGTGATCTTCTTCCACCAGTGACCTGGTGAACTGCCACTTCGACCCAATTAAAAAACCCCTCAAGAATTACTACCTCAGTGATAAAGTGAAGAAGAAAGTGATATCTTCATCAAGGTCAACCGATGATGATGATGATGGCCCGAGTGATTACCTTTGCGACGCTTCTCATCGTCTCTCTGGTCTCCGTCGCCTTCTGTCCACCTGCTGATGCGGCCACGGAGGTGCTGAGGCCTAGAGGAGTGCCTTTGTCGAGTAAGTATTTCTAGTTAAGCTTTGTGAAGTGCCATTGTTCACCTGTCTTTGTTTACCTTGCTTTCCAGAAAAATCTTTTTATGACCCGGGCAAAGATTTTCAGTGTCTCGACGGCTCTGCGACCATTCCCTTTATGCTGGTTAACGATGATTATTGTGACTGTGATGATGGGACTGACGAACCAGGAACGAGCGCCTGTTCTAATGGACTGTTTCACTGCTCAAACATTGGCTACATCGAGAAGATTATCCCGTCTTCTCGGGTCAATGATGGAATTTGCGGTATGTTTGTTTACATTGTTATCACCTATCGTATTTTATTCTTAATTACTCTTTATCTGAGTTTAGACTGNTGGCTACATCGAGAAGATTATCCCGTCTTCTCGGGTCAATGATGGAATTTGCGGTATGTTTGTTTACATCGTTATCATCTCTCATATTTTATTCTTAATTACTCTTTATCTGAGTTTAGACTGTTGTGACGCCGGAGATGAGTACAGCAGCTCGGCAAACTGTCCAAACAACTGCATGGAGCTGGGCGAGCAAATGCGCGAAGAACGGGAACGGTACCTCGAGCTGCTCAAAGCGGGCAATGAAATTCGCCAGCGGTACATCGAAGAAGCCAAGCAAAAACTGGGCGAAACGAAGCAGGAACTTGAAACACTGCGATCTCAACTAACTGAAGCGGAAGAGCAAAAGAATGCAAAGAATGAGGTCAAAACTAAAGCCGAAGAACTGGAAAAGGAGGCCCTCGACAAGCACCGTGCCGAAGAGGACAAACTTCGAAAGCAGCGCGAAGAAGAGGAACAAGTGCACAGAGAGGCGGCTGAGAACAGCTACGCCCTTAGCGTTTTCAAGAAGCTGGACGCCAATGCCGACGGCGTAGTGTCTTACGATGAGCTGAAGGCATTCCCTCACTTTGACCAGGACAACAACGCCGAAGTCAGCGACGACGAGGCTAAGGTTTGCAGTTTTGAGAATTTCAGAAAATGATGTTAATTGTACATCTTTTTCATTTAGTTTTTCCTCAACGCCGCCAATCAACTTGGCGAATCAGAGTTTATCGAATCGAGCTGGCCCCTGGTGAAGCCCGCTTGGGAGAGTCGCAAGGTAAATACTTACTTGACCACTTTCGATTAGCTGTGTGTGCGCTTTGAGCTTGTCTGTCCTTTCATTGTTTGCTTGTCCTTCCCCTCCATTACTACCA